AATGGCCGTCCTGGCAGCGCTGTCGCATGAGTGGAAATGGCGATTTTCTCCCTCCGTGTGAAACAAGAGGCGATTTTCTGCTGCTGCTTCACCGGTCAGGGGTTTTCTGGTTTGTTTTACTGTACAGGCCAATGGCATCCTGGCCTGGATCAGGAACAGTGTGGCCAGCAGGACCAGGGAGGGCATCCTTCCCCTGTACTCGGCACTGGCGAGGCCACACCTTAAATATTGTGTCCAGTGTTGGGCCCCTCATTACAAGAAGGACATGGAGGTGCTGGAGCGTGTCCAGAGAAGGGCAACCAAGCTGGTGAAGGGGCTGGAGAACAAGCCTTATGAAGAGCGGCTGAGGGAACTGGGGTTGTATAGCCTGGAGAAAAGAAGGCTGAGGGGAGACCCTATCACTGTCTACAACTACCTGAAAGGAGGTTGTAGCAAGGCGGGTGTGTGTCTTTTCTCCCAGGAAACTAGTGATAGAACAAGAGGCAACGGCCTTAAATTGCACCAGGGGAGGTACAGATTAGATGTCATGAAAAATTTCTTTACGGAAAAGGTTATCATGCACTGGAATAAGCTGCCTAGGGAGGTGGCTGATCCACCAGCCCTGGAGGTATTTAAAAGACAGGTAGACAGGGTGCTCGGAGATATGGTTTAGTAGTGGATAGATATGGTTAGAATCGATGATGGTGGAGGCCCCATCCCTGGAGGTATTTAAGAGTTGCACAGATACAGTGCTGAGGGACATGGTTTAGTTGGGGACTTGTCAGTGTGAGGTTAGTGATTTGCCCTGATGTTCCTAAAAGTTTTTTCCAATCCAGGCAGTTCTGTGATTCTACTACCGCGTGCACCTTTGCTTTTTAGGCTTTGATCTAGAGCTTGAACAGTACGACTGCGTCTGTGGCAAGAGTTTTACCACTGGTAACAGTGAAATTTTAACCTGTAGTTTAATAACAAATACAGTTGCTTTTCAGTTTGTCTTAGCAGTCATGTGCTTACTTACTTTGTAATTTCAGATTAAGTGTGCCTGAAAGTACACCTTTCACAGCTGTCTTGAAGTTTGCTGCAGAAGAAGTAAGTAAAAAGTAATGAAGTCAGTTTTGATCTTTCTGAACATTCCTGAAAGCAGAAGCTTTTTAATTGTAAAAAACAATGGTTAATTCAGCACAAAGAATGCTTTTGTTAGATACACATGGACACAAGCTTTACTAGTGTCAGTGCGGGCCTGCCAGAACTTTCATAATCCTAAACTTGGATATTTTTACACAATTTACACATCAACAGCAGATATTTACATACTCTGTGTTCTTCCTTGCAATTAAATTAAACCATTTAATATCAATAATATAAAAATTTATTACAGTGAACATAAAGATTCTGCTAATGAATAGTTATCATTTTAAATTGCTTTCATAGAATATCTGTAAAATTCTTAGAATTATTCAGGAAATTCTTAAACTGTTCTCACATTCAGTTCTAGTAATTTCTGACTTTGGAAGACATAAAAATTTTGGTTATAGAATATACTGAGATGAGGCATATCAGCTAGATTAAAAAAAACTGAATAAGTGAATAAGAATTGTATAATGTGTTCTTTGACTTCTGAGTGTTTGATCTTTCACATGGAATCCGAAACCAATAGGTGCCTAAATTGCCCATCTAATGTATTTGGAGAGATGCATCCTGTCTGCTTCAGATTAAGTGTACAGAGAAACAGAGATGTTAATGTGAGTGTAAACAGTAAAATAAGATGCTTAAAAGCATGATGGCTTTTTTCATCTAGTCAGCAAACAAGTTCAGCTGAGAGTCTGTTTTTGCAGTTCTACTTCTGTCTGTGTAAGAAAACTTGGCAAATTTTGGGTTATTGAAAATTTCATTTGTTCAAGCATTGGAATTGTAATAAAATAAATAATTAGGAAGGATAATGAACTCCATGTCTTGAGTCTTCTTATGTTGTTGGAGTTATGTGACAACGTAAGAAGTGTTATGTCACTATGTGACAGAAGTTCTTAGTGGAAACGCAGCTTGTGGTGGGAGGTTGTGGATTGTTTGTTGTAACTTCACTTGAACAGAATAATACACAGAATAATAAATACTATTAAAATATTTACTGATTTAGTTAGGAATTTTTTTACTATTTTTTTTTCCAATTATTTTTGATCTGGACTAGTGCAGCCATGCTCATAAAACCCATATGTAGAGACCTAGATTGAACTCGGAAGTATTGTTGCTGCTGTAGTTGTGGGCTGTTTCCAAAAGAGACAGTTACCTTCCCCTTCAGGTCCTTGTTACAGATTCCTGTAACCTCACACGTGCCAGATCAAGGTCTGATGGAGTTGCACAGTGAGTCATTCAAACTGTATCATTAATCAGAGGGTCTTTTTTGACGTTTCTTTGCCGTGTCAGTCTGTTGAACTTAGTTCGTCGGTAGTTCGTTGTCTTTATCAGGCTCACTTTTACTGCTGCCATCTGCAAGCGCTTTAAACTGATGTAAGGTGTCGTATCTTCCAAAACTGACCCTGGCTGCTGCTTCCTTCCCTTCTGTCACCCCTTTGAACATACGGCTACAGGTTCATCTTAGAGAGATGGTGTGGGTTCAGACAAAGCTATTTTTTCTTGCTAGGTTTGTCTTCACACCTATTATTTCTCTAGTCTGGATTCATGCCATTGATGAGGGACCACGAAAACTGAGTTGGACCAAGTACTTGGAGATATGAGGAATGAGGGGCCGCTTCTGGTGGGAGGGTTGCCATCAAACCTGTTAACTTTACCTACTTGTGGAACCATAGTGTTAGTGATAGGGTCCTCTCTGACATGGATTTAGCGGATAATTAATTACTTAAATATTCACATTCAATGGACCATTCTTTTAGTTGACATGAATGTTTTGAGCGTCTATGGGAGTTTTGCTGATTGACCTCAGACCACTCTGGTTCAGCACCTTTTTATAAAACAATTGTAGATGTTTTTTGGAGGCTCACAAGAAATACTGCAAATGTCTAATAGAATGTAAAAGAGCCCAGTGTTGCTAATGCTCACTAGAGTAATTCCATTGAATGTCTATACAGTAAACATTTCCTTTTAAAGAAAATAGGAAGAACACTTTATTAACTCCCCCCGCAAACAGTGTGAAACACTTTTGTATTAGCCTGTGCCAGTGTTAAATAGAAATTAATAACATGAATGTGTGATTGATTTTTCAGAATATGGTGCTGGTTTTAGTTGTTGATGCTGATGTGTTACTAAAGCTTTTTATATCTCTGTGAGGCCAGGCAGAACTAAATGCTTTGTAGACAGAGAACAGAAAAGGTTGTTAGACTCTTCCTCAGGAGCAGAGCTACTTTGATCCTTTGTCAACTGGCATTGTAAAGAATGACAGAGAATTTTTGTCTTCTGTAAATGTTTTCTGTTCCTTGAACAGCATAGCTTAACATTACTTATGCTGTGTATTGTGATTCAGATACTAGTTTCACAGTACCTTATACAAAACATGTAAAGGAAGGATCAAACTGTAGCCCTGGATTTTGGACAAGGATGTTAGTTGGTCTCCAGGGGAAGTGGAATTGCATTATCTCTTCAGTGACTAAAGCTCTTGGGACAGAGAAAGATTTACATTTCGTCTGTTTAGCCTTAGCAAGTTTCTACAGAGGTTTTTTTTTTTTCAGAGTCTTAAAGTTTGACCAAATCATAACCAGATTCCCCTGGGACGGTAGAACTGTAGCCGTGATGTGGAATGGTCTTCTTACATATCAAGTTTCAGTCACAGTGCTTTGTCAAAGGTTACAGTTTTTCCAAGTAAAGTTTTCTGAATTTATTTTCATTGCACAAAACAAGATTTGCTCCTTCTTTTCTTCTCTTGTAAATAACTGAAATACATAACAGATTTTTTTCCTATCATCTCTAGCACATCACATAACATGTGAAAGTTCACTGGACACAATTCACAATTGGCAGAGCTGGAAGTGAAAGAAAACTGGATCATTAAATGGCGAGGTCTCGGGAAGTCTCAATCATTTGTAGCAGTCTCAGCCTTTCCCAATATATACATTTGCCAGTGATAATTTGGATAGTGCAAATTTAACTCTCTTCTTATTTTTTATTTTCTCTGTCTTACAGACTTTATATGAAAAATGTAAATTGAAATGTAGAGTACAGGGTACGCTGCTGTCTTCAGTTCTTATCTATCTGTAGTTCTTTCCACAATTGTCACAGTTTATTGTGACCATGTTAATGTTCTCATTTACAATGTGTGGCATCCTTCTTTCATCTGTTAGAGCTACTTGGTACATAATGTACTTATCTGCTGTTCATTGTGCAAAAAGGAGATGAGCTTGTTACCGTAGAGGACTTTTGTCATCATTGTAAAAAGGGAGAAAGGGATAGAATTGTTGGTATATGATTGTTATATTTTCCTTATGGTTTGACTGAAGGTATTGACAAATGTATTTCCTAGCATTGGAGAAAATCAGTTTTATGGCAGCCTCAGTTATCAATTTATAAAGTTTTTAAAGCAAACAGTCTCTTTTGTTAAAGTATGTGTTTGGGGCTGGATGTTACCCAGTTTGTTTTCAAAGCAAGCCAGGGATTATCTGCTGGATACAGAACTTTTTTGCTGCTTGAGTATCCATTTGACTTTGTGTCACAGAAAGCTTGTATATTTGCAGCATGGGAAACATATGCTTAGCAGCCATAGGAAGGATTTTTAATTTAAGCAGTGAACCATATTGCACCAAATTATGTGTAATTATTTCCTGCAGTAGTTTCGCTTTCTGTATTATACTTGTGATTATTTTCATGTGCTGAGTGTGTAGCTGACAACTACTGCTGTTTGACCCAGTATTTTGGGCTAAGACAACAGTGTTTTATTATCTTCTAACACAATACAATATGAAGCAATAAGAGAATCTTAACTCATGTTTCACTGACTGATTGCCACACAGTTCTCATGTGCCCCTAGAGTATCAGCATCTCCTCCTTCAGTAGATTCTCCTACTGAAAAGCAAATTGACACAAAATGAGAAGTCATCCATCCTCCTGTGAATGATCCACCCCTTTCATGCATTGTTGTGTATCAGAAGAGATAGAGAAGAAATTAGAAGAGGCACTTAAGATTAAAGAAGTTAAATTTTGGGTTTTTTTTCAGATTTAGGATGAAAGATCCATTGTATCACTTAGTTACAATAGAAACCTGCTTGTAGTAAAATAACATAAGTATTAAGTTAAATATGTATTTCCACTTGTTCAAGTTTTTTTGTGGTCTGTTCCTTTACTTTTTGAATTGCAGATGGACTCATTCCAGGAGGCAGGACTTAATATGGTTGACATTAATACCACTGTTGAAACCTTATAAATTAATTTTCTCCTATTATGTAAAAAAAACCCCAAAACACACAAACAACACAAAACCCAAACCTGTTAAAAGATTTCTCCTTAGATGTTAAGTCAAGGTTCCCAAAGTTAGTGGACTTGAAAATGAAGGCGTACTTTCTTCAGCATATGATATGTATGCATTGGCTGTTATGAGATAGCATATTATTTTTTATATTCTTACTGTTAAATACGTAGCTCCTGTTTTATCAACTTCATTATTTAAATCTTGCTCTGAAGACTAATTGTTACTTTCCTCATGGCTTTTCCGCAATAACACTAGTATCTAACTTACCTTGTGCTGTACTTACTGTTTTCTTGTCACCCTGCAAGATGAGCCGGTGATATGATTTACCTGCTATGGATAAAAAGCTAAGAGAGAATAAGTTAACCAACAAAAAAAAAATTCTGCTAATTTTGTGTGACTGGAGATAAAATGAGACAATTTTTCAGTATATTAATAATTAAGTACTCTATTCAAGCATGGTTTCTGTGAGCTTTATCTGTTGTTGTTGATGTATAGTGTGTCTGCAGACCAGACTTGGAAGTCTTAAGTTGAGCAATCAGAAAATGAGGAAAGCACAGCAAGTGAATGCCATTGAAAGGAATGGCTGAAGTGACTTGTTCAGCAGATGAGAGCTCTGCAGTTCTTCCAGGGAGACACTCAGTGTTAGCATTCGTAGTTAGCTGGCCCTTGTCTTACACTATATAGAATCAAAGATTGGTTTGGATTGGAAGGGACCTTAAAGATCATCCAGTTCCACCCCCCCTGCCATGAGCAGGGACACCTTCCACTAGACCAGGTTGCTCAAAGCCTCATCCAACCTGGCCTTAGAAACTTTCGGTGGGGGGGGCATCCACAACTTCCCTGGGCAACCTGTTAAGAGAAGTTGTGAAGGAAGAACAGAGAGGAGGATGAAGTGCTTTGTGAGGCGGTTTCACTGATAATTGCTCATTGCTGAACCACCAGTCTTTTACCTGAGAGTTTTTCACTGTGCTAATTAAAGGAAGCCCAAGTAGCAACCTTTGGTCCTCAGACTGACCAGGTAGCACTGATGGCCTAGCACTTTTGCCTTTCTGTCCCATGTGGTCCAACCACATTACACATTGCAGGATTTTTCTTTGGCCCTGCATAGCTCCCTCTTGTAAGAATTATTTTTGGCTTCCTCGGTTCAGACCTTCTGAAATAGTTTGAAGCCTGTATGCAGAGCAACCCTACCTGAGTAGGGCTTTTCGTATTGTAAAGCTGACTGCATATGATGTGCATGGAGGTGGGGTACTGTGGAGATACATGGTGGTAACTGAGGGTACCAAGCCTACTCAGGCTGGTGTCAGAGATCTGAGGAGGGAGCCAGATGTGATGCAGTGCTGTTCATGCTTCCTTTTGTAAGCAAATCCTGGAGTGAACTATTCTCTTTGAGCAGTGCATTTGGGAAGGTCCCAATAGAGCCAGGGAGAAAGCTAGGAAATTGGTCAAAATTAGCCAAGATTAGCTCAAGATAATTTTTACTTAGCTCCTGTTAGACATAACAGGTATGCTGCTTAGAAGTTCATTTCCATGCATGTTTTAGATGTTCCTTTAGTATAATAAGAACTAATGTTTCTTATTATTGCGGATGCTTGACTTCTATCTAATGAGTAATAATAATTGGATTGAATTAGTTGTTTAGTACTGCAGATTTTGCATTCTGTATTGAGGTGTCTAATCAGTTTTTACTTTAAACCTTTATTTTGCTATATCTATAAATGTGGGAGGAATCTTTTCTTAATTTTTTTTTTGTACCTGAACCAGCTAAAATTATAATTGCTTTGAATATTCCCCATATATTTTCTGCTTTAACTGTCTCTTATGTTATTTTGTCTGATTTCCTTTAAAATTATTTCCTGTATGTCTTATTTCCTTTAGTTCAAAGTTCCTGCAGCAACAAGTGCCATTATAACAAATGGTAAGAATATAGTTTATATTTATTTGTTAATAGTTTTTATATTGTAGTTTCAGTGAAGGGGTATTAGTAAAAGCAAATGTGTCTTTTCTTTTACAACCTCTACAGACTGTAAATTGAATTTAAATTTAAATTGCTTATGCATGGGGTGAATATATTAAACCACTGATACCATGTTATTTGGGCAAAACCAGATAAATAGCTTGGTGTTTCTGTGCTGAAGGTTTCTTGTTAGCTCCTGTGATAAGGCTGGGTTTGGTTATAGGAAATAGCTGCATGAACACCTGGTGTAATAATTATATCTTGTTGGTATATTATATTTTTTGAGCTCTAAGTTTAGTGTAGTAAATTGTCATATGTCTGTTTCATCTTCCTGTCTTTTTCCTGATTTTTTTAAAAACTTCTTTTTCTAGATGGTATAGGAATAAACCCCGCACAGACAGCAGGTAAGTTATTATTTATGAAGCCCAGTTTTAAAAACCTCACTTACTTTTCTTTTAAACTAATTCATAACACTTGGGGTTGATTTATATTTTAAGTTTTGATTTCTTAAATGGGAGAAGCGCTACCCAGTAGTTAGAAACTGCATTCAGTGTAGAGTTAGTGCGGTGTAAAAGGTGAAATCCACAGAAGTATTCATTTATTTAGGTCTGTGAAAAAAATTAGGCACTTCTGATCTTCAGAGATTAGCTATTTAGTGTGCAGTTTAAAAGAGCAATACTGTATTACCTGATACTGAAATAACAAGCAATAGCTGTATTTTTTCCTCACTGTACCTAGTTCAGTAGTATTTCCTATTTTAGCAGTACTTCTGATGATATATGTTTAAAAAATAATACTCAGTTTTAGAGCAGGAACTCTATGAGCTTTGGAAAGCATGTTTTCAAGAAGAGAGGATATTCCTTCCAATAGCCCTTTTGTTCTTACCAAGGGCTTCCAAGTGAGAAATGTATGGTTTCAACTGTGGAGGCTTGCTCTGAGACAAGAGTTTATCTCTGTCACAGAAAAGTATAAAGCTTTTCCCCATAACCTCCTGAAATAAGTAAAATGTACAGATGTTGAATTGTACTAATAGTCTGTTATTTTCCCCATAACCTCCTGAAATACATAGAAATGTAGTACAGATGTTGAATTGTACTAATAGTCTGTTTTCTGGAAGGAGCCTTCTTTGGACTTGTTCTTGAAAAGCTATATTTTAAAATTAATTTGGAAATTATTACAGTAATCTAATCTAGACCCATTTGAGACGAGAGTTATGGTGGAGTGGAATATCTTGTTAGGGAAGAAAGGTTCATAACTTTCTACTATGAAATAATAAAAATGTCTTTGGTGCTTGTGGAACATGACCATCCAGTGAAAACTGTGGACCTACTTACTCCTGCTTGCAAAAGTGATGAAGAGTTGATGGAGATTTGCTGCTTCTCTATTTTTTGCATGAAATCTCTGCCAGGTCTCATTCGTTTGTTCCCTTTGTCTGTCAGTTGTTATTGAAGATACCACAGCCTGTTTTTTTTAAGATCTAAAGAGAGAATAAGAAAGTGAGGTATTATCACCATACTTAGCTATGTAAGGTAAATAGTATAAAGTAAATCCATATAGTCTGTTTCATGCTATAGCAATATGAAGTTAAAAAAAAAGGTTCCATGTAGTAATTAAATAATGCACCACTTTTAGCAATGTGTTTTCATTTTCAAATGTTAATTTAATAGAGGAAAATGACAACCTGAATGATAATCCTGAACATGTGCAGAAAATATTCTAGATGTTTAAGTGTTAGAAATGTCTCATTTTCATAACTATGTCCTCTTGAAAAGACTATCATGATTAAGACTATACAATAATAAATATGAAGTTCAAGATTTTTTTTTTATGCTAAAATGAGACTGACTTACACTTGGATATGTGGAGACCCTTCCTAAAAGAAAAGTACAGTTGAGGTTTTGAAGTTAGAAGCAGATAAGTACATAACCAAGGAGAGAATTAAAAATTAGTATATGCATGAATGACCTCAAGATAAAAGAAAATAATTATAGAGAAGTAAAACTTAATTTCCTGGTCTTGAAATTATTGTGGTGTATAAGTGAAGTCAGTCATTCATGTATGGAACTGCAAAGTTTGAAAGGCCCTAGCTTGCAAGTCTTATTAGCTGACTTCGGGTCTGGTATTTTTATTTCAAAATAAGAGCTCTTTGAAGTAAGAGGGATAAGATGAAATCCATTGAAATATTAAAAATATATTTCTGGTATATTAGAGGAATTACTACAAAGATGTTAAACACTGACCTAATTTTATTATCCAACCATAAACCTAACACTGCCAAGTCCACCACTGAACCATATCCCTAAGTGCTACATATACATGTCTTTTAAATACCTCCAGGGATGGTGACTCCACTGTTTCCCTGTCCTTTACATGTGTATGCTTGTTTAGGTAACATTTTATTTGGTTGGTTGGTAACACATTCTGTTTTGTTTGTTTGTTTGTTTAGGAAATGTATTTCTAAAGCATGGTTCAGATCTACGGATTATTCCCAGAGATCGAGTTGGGAGTTCTTAACGTCTGCTGAAACCTTTGTGGGAGTTCTTAACGTCTGCTGAAACCTTTGGAATAATTGACATTGCCATTCAGCAAAGGTCTATTTATTTTGGAATTGCAAAATGCAACTAACGAATTGGCCTTTTTAAAGGGAGCAAAAATGCCTTCCCAGGATTTTTTTTTTTTTTTTTAAACAAATACAATATTTCATTTTCTTGTTAAAATATATTGGCTCATGCACTGATTCTTCCTTGACCAGTAGAAGAATGGACTGATTCCATGTTATGTTCCTGAAAGAAAGATGGACTTCTCTATAGGTGTTACTGACACCACAGGGATAAACACACAGCCACGGTCAATCGATAATTAAAATATTGTATATTGTTGAGCCTACTTTGTGTAGGGGGGAGCTGTGTTATGATTTTGCTACACTGTTCCTACTGAGTACTAAAACTTTTTTCCAATTTTTTTTTACTTTTTTTTTTTCCTAAATTTACTTCCATGTGTAGAGGAACAGTTTTCACATGGTTCAAGTATTAAGCCCAAATAGAAGGGAAATTTCAGAGGTTTATTACTCAAATAAGTAAATAACTGCCAAGTATTCCGAAGTAATTGTAAGATTTAATTGCTACAAATATTTTAGATAAATGAGAAAACAGAGGCTTCTGTGTGTTAAAACTTCAAGTTAAATTTAATGCAGTTTCAGAGAATTTATGAGACCTAATCTCCTCATGTGAAGTGCCATCAGCTGAGATGGATTGCAGAATAATTTGGGAATGTGTAGGTACTGGTCAAATATGTCATTCCTTTTTCAGAAAACTAATATTGGTTCCTTTTAAACGTCTTGTTTTGTTACTGTGTGTTACATAGGAAACAGCAGAGAATTCACTGAAATGTTTGTATTCAGATTATATGCTTCTTGTTTATAAATTGCCAGGGGTAAACTGTCAGTTGTGTATTTTAATTAGAGATATTGCTGCTTTTCTTGAACTGGTAATCTACTTATGGCTTAATATATTTAGCAAAGTCTTACCCTGTTGCATTTTTTCTCTCCTGCTGAGTTTAACAGAAAGAACAATGGGCAATGTAGTGCTTGGTTAAATGAGTATTGTCCCAAATACAACTGTGCTGTGCAATAATCCTGCTCCAGAAAAATGCTCAGAAAATGTGTCAGATAGTGTGGAAGTACAAAATGCTTTTCTGAGTGGGTGTAAACTGAGGATATAGATGAAAGATCTTCTGAAAATTATATTGACGGTAAACATTTTCCAAATCTAAGGTGAATTGTAAAATTCTGGGTTTTCCTTTATTTTAATAAAGGTGGTCATATAATTATACGAAAAAAGTGCAAACTTTGTTCCTCTCTCATATTCTTAATTAGATTTTGACAATAATTAAAAACTCTGCCCTTTAACCTTCTAATCAACATGCTTTGAGATTCATTTCAAGCTAGATGATTCTTATTATGCAGAATTTTACAGAACACTGCCCTTAAAGGGCAGAGTGCGTAATTTCTATTAATCTAGTGCCACAATATAATTAGGATGAACCAAATTAATTGCTTGTAATTTTTGTCTGCAAATCTCTTGAATGAATACTTGAAAAAACACTTGATACTGGAATATAACAAACAGGAACTTTTTTTTTTTTACTACCTAAAGGTGCGATATAGTTTTTGAAAGCCCATTGTGGTTAAATGCATCTTGAAGCTAAGATTCTTTGATGTTTATGTAAAGGAGGATTATGTAAAAATAATTTCAGATGGGAGATGACATTTCTTACACTGTCACTTTGCTGATAACACAGATAGCATAAAGTATTTGTTTGACATACTGTGTTGCAAGTAGTTAATGTAACATGCAAAAGATCTGGTCAGTGGCTGGACGGTCACATTCAGAGTGTTGTGTTCAACGCCTTGATGTACAAGTGGAGACCGGTGATGAGTGGCATCTCTCAGGGGTCAGTATTCACAGAATCACAGAATGTCAGGGATT